GCATTAACTCATACAAATAATACGATGATTTATGAAGAGAAGACACATTTTGCAGATAATGAAACTGAGTCCCACACTTGACCACTTTTAGGCTATTAGAAAAATTTGGAGTCCTTTCATATCACATTAGAAGCAGCAGATTAGAAGTAAAGGGAAAATGAGGGCGCCTGGGTGGCTCAGTTGGTTAAGCGACTGCCTTCGGCTCAGGTCATGATCCTGGAGTCCCTGGATCGAGTCCCGCATCGGGCTCCCTGCTCGGCAGGGAGCCTGCTTCTGCCTCTGACCCTCCCCCCTCTCATGTGCTCTCTCTCTCTCATTCTCTCTGTCTCAAATAAATAAATAAAATCTTAAAAAAAAAAAGAAGTAAAGGGAAAATGGAATCCTTTTATAATAATGAGAAGTAACTGTTTACACCTATTTAATTATTCATTAATTTCCCCTTCACTCAACAAATATTTATTGCTCATTTTCTGTGTGCCATGCATAAAGGTACAAAAACTGTCAAAGGCAGATGGAACACTTACAAATCATGGTCCTCTGGTGTTATCTGTTAGCACTGTATGGGGACAGCAAGGCATTACATACAATAGGTGTTTTTTAAGAGTTCTTTAAATAAAAAGTTCATTTATCCATATACCTTAGTTTTTGGTTATAGCCACCATAATGTTGTATTGTTTCAGTTTTGGTGTTTGGTCAGATTCGTAGAGTATTTGGTATCTTCATAAACTTGGTGGGACTACCATCATAATCTGTGTCAGATTTACGCAAGTTTCTTTATTTTATTTATAAAAGTATAGCTTGAATCTTTTTTTTTCCATTATGATAATAGGGTATAGCCTTGATAGGCATTATCATTTAGAACAGGAATTGGCAAACGATGGCTTATGGGCCAAATCTGGTCTGCTGCTTGCTTTTGTAAATAAAGTTTTATTGGGACACAGCCATACCCATTTGTATATGTATTGTCTATGGCTTGTGCACTGCAAAGGCCAAATAGAGTTGTTGCAAAAGAAACATTGTGGCTACAAAACCAACCTATTTACTATTTGGCCCTTTACAGAAAAACTTTAATGACTCCCAATATAGAAGTTATAATTTTTGGAGATTATGTTTCTTTTGATGAGAAAGGAAAAGCTAGACAAAGATTGTTTTATGTTTAGTATAAATGAAACCTTAAGGTGCTCATTAGACCTTAGGATTTTTTTCAGAGACAAATTTCGTTTTTGGTACATTGTTTATTTTAAAGTACTATTTAATCTATTATATTTCATAAATTTGCTCAAATTTGTGCTACTTTTGTTGTATGAATGTGAAAAGGCAATTAAAAAAAAGACAATTAAAAAATGAAAGATTAAAAGAAACATAAGAGATCTATTAACTAATCAGAAGGTAGAGATTTAGATAGATTCCCATTTAAACCAAAGTTTAAAGACCAAAATAACAATAATAGAAAACATTTTATAAGACAACCAGAGAAATGGAACATTGATGAGATATATTTTGATTCTAAAGATTGTTCATTTTTTTGTGTCAATTGCTTATGTCGAGATTCTGTTTTTTAAGAAATAATTTTTTATTTTATTTATTTTTAAATATTGTTTATTTATTTGTCAGAGAGAGGGAAAGAGAGAGAGAGAGAGAGAGCACAAGCCGGGTAAGTGGCAGGCAGAGGGAGAAGCAGCCTCCCCACCGAGCAAGGAGTCTGATATGGGACTCAATCCTAGGACCCTGGGATCATAACCTGAGCCGAAGGCAGATGCTTAACTGACTGAGTCACCCATGTGTCCAAAAAGTCATTTTTTAAATGTAAAAAAATTGAAATTAAATTAAAAAATCTTTTAAAGAGTTAAATTCTTACTATTTAATTTGGTTGGTATGTTATTTCCAAATACAAGTTCCCCTTTATTTTCACTTTATATGTCTATAAGCTTTAAATGATCAATACCTACTAATTTGTCTTTCCTCAATTTTGTATATTTATGATGAATAAGGAAGCAATAGGTAAAATAGATAGAAATCAGTTTTTAAGTGCAAAGAAGCAGCTCTCATTTTCTCCTGTATCTTTCTCATCCAGAATAACATATTTTGATTATTGGGATCTCTGAGCATTCTTGAGAGCTTTCTAAATCACAAGATGATACATTTTTAGACTGATGATAAAGTCATGGTTCTTTGGAAATGGGTGGTTGCCATCCATGAGGTTGCAGTTCACATCTCCTATTTGCCCAAATAGCTCTTTCTAGGAGGCTTGGCTGTGCTAGTGTTGGCAGCAGCAGTTAGAGTACAGCTTGTTGAAGGTTTCAATCACCCCTCCTCAGGGCTGCTCTCAGTAGAGTGTTGTTGCTTTTTGTTTTACATCATGTTGGACTTGTTTTAAGTATAACACAAGGAAAATGCTGTCCCTTAAGGAATTTTGACACCGTAGTTTATTACTATTTGTTTAATATCTTGCCAATGTTTATTTGATGCTTAGTTTGCTTTAGGCACTGTCGCGAATGCTTGGATATATCAGTGAAAAAACAAAGATTCCCACTCTTATGAAGCTTACAGTTTCTTTGGGGAAGATAGAAGTGAATAATAGATATAATATGTAAATTATAAAGTGTCTAGTACGTAAGAAGGTAGAAAAAAGAAAAATGTGGAAAGAGCAAAATGGCAGGGATTGGGAGTCCTGGATAGGTAGTTGGGTACAGTTTTAAATAGGTCTCATTAAGGGGATACATTTGAGCAGATGAGGGAATTTACCATTTGGGAAATACGGATGAGCCTGATAGAGGGAACATTCAGGGTGAAGGATTGAGACTGGAAGTCCCTTGGCATATTTGTTTTTGGGGAGGCTGGAGTAGAGTAAGCCAGGGGGCAAGAAGACTAAGAGATGAGGTAAGAAGGGAGCAGAAAGGATCAGATCACTTGGGATTCTCATGAAAACTTCAGGTTTGTCCAGGTTTTGAGAAGAGGAATGTCATTGTCTGACTTGTGTTTTACAAGGATGTCAGTGGCTGGTGAGCATAGACTGGGGCAGGGAACAAAAAGCAAGGCATACATAAAAGTAATGAGTCCATTGCAACAGTCCAGGTAACAGATGATGGTAGTTCAGACAAAGGTGGTAGCAGGAGAGGTGGTGAGAAGTGGTCAGATTCTGGATATATTACAAAGGTAGAGTCTATGGGATTTCCTAACTTGATTGAGACAAAATTTATCTAAAAGTTTTCTCCTTGGAGAGTCAGTAAGACTGAAAGAAAGTTGATACTGCATTTAATGTTCTAGAAAGTGATTTTTTTGGACATGTTAGTATCATGTAGCTTTTCAGAATTTTAAAATGATTTCAAAAGAACTTATATGCCATTTTTGTGTGATTATTAACTACTAGACAGGTAGTTTTTGATAGTAAGAAAAGGTTAGATATTCAGTATTCTTATCCATAAGATGGTATTCAGATAGTCACCTTCTGTGAATATTGTAAAATGCCTCAACTATTTTAAAAACTTGCATAGCAGCCAATGGCAAATTGATTTAATTTAAAAGCAATGACTGTTTAAGAAATGAAAAATAAAACTAAGAATATTTTGTAAAATGCCATTGATTCCAGATACGGGGATTGAACCCAAGATGACCAATGGGCGTGCTAAGATTTAGCTTCAAACTTCTGTTCTGATCATTTAATATGTTACTTTGGCATCTCTTTTACATCTTCACATGAAGAGAAGTTATTTCTTATATCACATTCCTTTTCTGGAAGAAGGAAGTGCTAAAAATGCCATCAGGACGGCTCAACTCGCATTCAAGTTTCTATTTCAGTTATTCTTCCATTTGAACTTTATGTGACAGCTTTTCTTTGCATATTCTATGCAGTGGTCTTAATTTGATAGAAGAATAGGACAAACTGTTTTCTACTTTCAGAATCCTTTAGAATTTAAAAAATATAGAAGTTTGAAGGGGTAAAGTTGTTTATTCTTGTTGGCCCTCCTCTTTTTTCAATGCCTCCTACCTTTATGTATATTGGAAAATAGTTATTGGACTTAAGTATTTAGTTTCTCACTAGAACTATTTGGATGTTTTTGAGTGGCTCCTTAGATTTTGTTTTGCTGGTCTTCTTAACAAATGAATCTAAAGACTTCAATGTGCATTACTTTGAGTGTTAGTGTTGGAATGATTAGATGAACAGAAACAAAAAATAGGGAGCAGAAAACTAATGAGCAGGCACAAGTTCAAGGAAACCCATTACTAGCCCGCTGAGATCTTTAAGAAGTTGGCTATGGAAGGAGATGAAGTGACTATTATGGTAACTGCTTGCTATTACTGGGTTAGGGAATGAATGGAGTGGTTAATTATCCTGAATGCTATTTGAAACCTTTGAAAATAAGTTTTTTACAGTTAGCTAACAATATCCTTTTATTTACTTCTTCATGTTAAAACTTGCAGTTTAGGGCTTAAAAAATTACTTTTGTTACACACCATAGTACTTACCACAGTAGAAATGATCTGAGGGGCATACATATAGGTCATATGTATATTTTTGTTGCACCAAGGCTTGCAAATATAAGTACATTTCATTGTTTTGGGGCATCTCTGGATGCACTCACTCATGTTGAGTAGATCCAGTTGTTACAGTAGGCAAGATTACCAAATGGGAAAACAGCCACTGAAACTTTAATTCTTAACCTGATTAAATGGATCTTGTGACCATGGTGATCCAAGATAAATCTTAATATTTTCCACTGGGAAATCAACTATTTTTTTACTTCTTATGTTGAATTTTGCCAGTTTTTAGTTGTTGGTTATTGCAAATGAAATTGTACCATTTTCAATTGTAAAATTTCTAACTCGGGGAAAATTTTAAAATTTGGGGCATATAGCCATATTATTATTTTGAGGTAAACCTAGAATTATATCTATATGCAAGACATTTTTTCAGTTGCCTTACTGTATGATTTATATTTATTGAATATGTAGAAGAAGATGATACTGAATTTTTAAAAGAATAATTTTTCTGTTGTTAGCTTTTTAGTTGGAGAAGGAGCCTACAGATGGGCAGTAGATCATGGAATACCCTCTTGCCCTCCTAACATCATGACCACAAGTGAGTAAAAACTTTTCAAAATTAAGCATATATACCTGGAAGTGTTACATTGCTTTAATCCACATAGTACTCTGATATTTAAAAAAGGAAGCTTATATGTCAAAATATTTATAGTTAAAAGATACATAGAAAGTTATTTGATTTTAAGGCATTTTTATATTCCTGAGGATCCCCCCATTCTCATGCTTTTATAGAAGTATTGCTAAAGGATCCCTTTTAGGTTACTTAAAATAATTACTAACAATAAAACCTTAATACTAACCCCCTCAGAGAGAGAGAAGAAAACACAGGTCAACATTTATCTGTCTTTGGCCTGAGGAGGGCTTTTCTAGGGACCAAGTGCAAGAGAAGGAAGAACAAAAGTAACTACATAAGAGTTAAGACTGATAAAAACCACTTACCATAAATATGACAAAGTGATATATATCCTTAATCTATGAAAAGGTATATTAAATTAAAAACCATACAAATAATACCCCCAAAGAAAAATGATCAAAAGTCATAAATAGATAATAGAACATAACTAATAGGGAAATTCAAATGAGTACATGTTAAATTTGTTCCCTTGTAATTTGTGAAAGAGTTAAAAATACTGTATTACTGCTCGTAAGTGTGTGATGAAATGAACATAATACATTGGAGGTACAATATAAATTGGCAGAAATTTTGGAGGACAGCTAAGTAATATAGAGCAAAGCCTTAAACTTACTCTGCTTGTAGAACTTGACATTAGAAATATAGACAAAAATTTATGTAGTTCTCAATAAGCATTATTAAGAATATCAAAAAATTTGAAAAAAAATCTTATGTTCAACAGAGAGGAATGTAAGTAAATTATCATATGATGAAATGTTATGTAGTAAGTAGAAATTGTTATCAAGACTAATGTCTGATAATGATTAAATCTAATGACTTTGAAAAATGAAAAATGAGTTATAAATATATATGTGTGAATGTATATTTTATATGTCTATTTTAAAAATGAAATCATAGCTATATATTTATGCATAAAGACAAATATTGAAAACATATACTACTTGTTTTTTAAGTTAAATTTTTGTTTTCTATCATAGTCATCTATGACTATAAATAATCAAATGAAAAAATGGGGAATCATTAAATCCAAGGAGACCAAGTTGTATAAAAAAGAAATGATTATATATCATAGCAGGTATATAATAAGGTTCTTTTTTTTTTTTTTTAAAGATTTTATATATTTATTTGACAGAGCGAGCACAAGCATGGGGAGTGGCAGGCAGAGGGAGAGGGAGAAGCAGGCTCCCTGCTGAGCAGAGTGCCAGACATGGGGCTGCATCCCAGGACCCTGGGGTCATGACCTGAGCCGAAGGCAGTTGCTTAACCGACTGAGCCACCCAGGCGCCCCTAAAGATCAGTTCTTAATAACATTATATTCAAAGTGAGCACTTACGTAGCTGACCGTGGTAATATAGGGAGGCTGGAGGGAAAGGAAATACATGCATGGTAGGCAAACTGGAAGTATGAGAGTTCTAATTCTCATAGTCCTTACCACTAATTCTGTCTTAAAATCTCCCAGTGGAATTTATGTAGAGTTCTTATGTCACCCAGACAAATCTGGTCGTTTGATAGTTCCATTTTGTTTTTCCTTGGAGACATGCCACTTGGCACCTTCACATCTAGAATGGGTGTTCAGTAAGCCTGCTGCATGACTGTCATCCCTGGTCTTTACCTCACCATCATTTTGGATTTCTTTTTCATTTCTCCAATATCAGGTTCTCTGTTTCCTGAATCTCATGTGTTTTTTCTCTCTCTTGTTTTATTCCCTTATTTGGTATAATTAAGACTAGAAATTGTTTTCCCTAGGTTTTGAAGAACTTGTTCTCTTATGTTCTAGTTTTCAGTCTTGCTGTTATGCATTTTGATTCCCAGTTCTTTGTGGTGTACTTTTCGTCTTTGGAAAGAAGCCTTAATTCCTGTGTTCTTAATATTACGATGAAGCGTCTTATAATGGGTCTTTTTTTATTCAATATGCCTGATACTTACTGAGTATTGAGTACTTTTAATCTGGAAATTCATGTGGTTTAGTTTTGGGGAAATTAAAAAAAATTGTGTATTAATCTCATCCCTTATCTTTCCTCTATTTTATTTTTCTAATTTCTGTGAATTGGATGTTGGGTCTTATGCTCCAATCCCTTGTATCTTTTTCAAAAATTATTTTTTCTCCTTTTTGAAATCTTTTTTGTCCTACTATCTCAGAAATGTCTTCAGTTTTATCTCCTAAATCTTCTACTTCTTTTTTTTATTAAATTCTACTTGAATAAATGATTCAAGCAGAAGTTCTTTTTTTTTTTTTTTAAGATTTTATTTATTTGACAGAGAAAGACACAGGAGAGAGGGAACACAAGCAGGGGGAGAGGGAAAAGCAGGCTTCCCGCGGAGCAGGGAGCCCAATGCGGGGCTCCATCCCAGGACCCTGGGATCACGACCTGAGCCGAAGACAGATGCTTAACAACTGAGCCACCCAGGCGCCCCTAAACCTTCTACTTCTTTTTTTTTTTTAAGATTTATTTATTTATTTGTCAGAGAGAAAGAGAGAGCGCAGCGCGCATGAACAGGGGGAGTGGCAGGCAGAGGGAGAGGCAGGAGCCTGATGCGGGACTTGATCTCAGGACCCTGGGATCATGACCTGAGCCGATGGCAGACGCTTAACCAACTGAGCCACTCAGGCGTCCCTAAACCTTCTACTTCTGATGAATTTGTAATTTTGGCTTTTATTTGTTTTAATTTCTAGGGATTCATCAATGACTAATACTTTTTTTTTTTTTTTTTACAAAAAAGAATAGTATTGACCTATGGTGAATTTGGGAGGAGAAATTATAACTATTATTTAGATTTAAAAAAAATTTAAATGCTGTCCTATATTGGGCACTTGTCTAATCCTCAATCAAACCTTTTTTGGTTTTGGGAGGGTGTCATTGGTAGGTTTTTATTCCCTTTCAGTGTTCCAAAAGTTTTCAGAATGTCTTCCTCAGGTTTGTTCTAAAATAATCTTCTACATAGTTTCTCACATACTTAATATTTCATTCCCAAATGTAGATGTGAATTTCTATCTGGTATTATTCCCTTCACCTTAGAACAAGCATTTCTGATAATGTGGTAGGTGTAGTGGTGAAAAATCAGCTTGTTATTTGAAAAAATCTTTATTTTGCCTTTACTTTTGAAATATAATTTCTTGTTGGATACAGACTTCTACATTGTCAGGTTTTTTTTCTTTTAGCACTTTTTTTCCTTTTTTTTTATTGTGGTAAAAAATATATAACATAAAATTTACTATTTTAACAGTATTTAAGTATATAATTCAGTGGTACTACATACATTTCAGTCTTGTATAACCGTCACCACTATGCATTTCCATTAACTTTTTTTATCATCCCAAGCAGAAAACTCTATACCCGTTAAACTACCCATTCCCCTTTCTCTCTAGGCCCTGGTAGCCTCTATTCTACTTTCTTTCTCTATGACTTTGTTCTAGGTAGCTCCTTAATCATACAGTATTTGTCATAGACTGATTTTTAGGCTTTGTGAAAGTGAGTCTATTTCAGTTTTGTTCTTAAACTTAGAAACCTTAGTACTAGCCTGTGGTCTTTCTTCCCAAGATATAGCCTTTCTAGGGTTTTATTCAAAAGTCTCAAACTTGAAACTTTGTCTCTTCTACAGTAAGTATCTCTCAAAATCTGTGTCAGCTTTTCAGCTGTTATTTTCCTCACTAAACTCTATGGAATCTTGCATCTTGTATGAACAGTTAAGGGCTTATTCAAGAATTTGAAGGCATGTTTATATAGATTTGGGGGCTTCCCTTTTTTTGTGTATGTGGCTTTCTCCTTACCAGGATTCCTCCCTCAATTTCCAGTTGCTTCAGTAGCCCCAAACACCTTCATCTCCATCCGGCAAGACTGTAGTTTTCGATTTGAGATCTTTTTGCTGTGCATCTACAGTTTTGACTGTAGTGCCTCATGGGGAAAGCTGTATGAATGTGGATCTCACCCAGTATGTTTCTTTTCTTTCTGTGGTTGATCCTCTCCTATTTCTGCCAGCTTTTTGTCACTAGCCTTCAAATAGCTTTCTTTTTTAATTAAAAAAATTCTGACTAGAGTTTGTAATTGTTATTGGTCTGTGGGTTAGTCTTATATAAGCTACTCCATTACCAGGAGCTGGAACCTATGTTTTGTAAATGTGTACTATTAACAGCTATAATAATATAACAAATATAAATTAAAAAATATAACAAATTTCACATTATAAAAGAGAGTTGATTACTTAAACATTGTATTTGTTACTTTTTAATTGTGTGGTACAGGAATATGTTACCTTTTAAAAAATTGGAACATTCTACATAAACCTAACCTTCCTCTTTACTTCTCTTCTCAGCCCCAGCCTCTCCTGTCCACTCCCATAGCCACACTTATTTGTTGAATTTATTTGTTTCTGTGTCAACAGAAATGCTGGAATATGTAGTATTATTATTTTTGTTAGGTTTAGATAAATGGTATCATACTCTATAGTATCTTTAGTAAGTTTTTAGATAAGTGGTATAATATGATACTTCTAATTTTTTGTCAGTCAGCAAAATATTTTGAAATCTCTCCATGTTGATATATATAGATCAATTAATTTTTAAACTGCTGAATAGCATTTATCATATTTATTTAGCTATTTCTCTTTGATGGGCATTCAGGTTGTTTCTAGCTTTTGCCATTAACATTGATGATTTCACAAATATTCTTGTACATATCCCTTTGTACTTAAGTGTTTTGTTTATCTAGGTGGAAGTAGATTTGCTGAATCAGAATGTACATTTACCATTATGCTGGCTATTTGTGTTTCCCCTCCCAAGACATTTACTCTCTGTCTACTTTTGCGAAGTCTGTCTTTGTAAAGCTGCTGCCATTACTGACCACATAGTAGCTCAGAGTATAGGCTTTAGAGGCATATATCTTTGTGTGACCATGGACAAGTTACCT